ATTTTTGTGTACTTGACTGGTTCACATGCGTTAATTTAATCTACATTTTAGAGAATTACATTAATCGGGTAATCAAGTTTGAAAGAGAAACACAATTTTGTTGTGTGGATCACAAATTATATGTTTATACTCAATATATTTCCTTTAGATACATGCAAGCCAAAATATTACTTAATGTAGGTCAGTATATTTTTTTTGCTTAATTTCTCCTTAAACAGCTAAATTATCTTTAGAATTTTCACTTAAAGGGGACTGTTAAAGAGTTGGATTCTCATGCTAAACATGGCCAAAGTTTCAAAAAACGAGTTGGACGTATGATGTATTTCTGTGCCAAATACACTTGGTAAAGTTTATTTCGAGTATGGCCCTAAATGACGTCATAGGGGACGGAATTCCTAGTATGAGCACTTCTCCCGGAAGAGTGTGCGCACACAACCAGGGCTGCATTCCAGTCCACTTTTAGACACGCACTTGCAAACTTCCCTAAGCACTTCCCCTCGGGGGAATCCCTGCCGCCATTTTGAAGTGCGTTCCACTTCGTGAAGTGGACGAGGGAAGTTTATATGGACAGACACTCGTTCCCTCGATTTAGAGCGAGGGAGCGAGTCTACTTCATATGTACACTTCAGGCACCTATATTTCCCATAATGCAGTACGATTGTGACGTGACCACAGATCTTGTCTAATCACAACCACAACAAACAACTCTATGATATATTAATTATAAAAAATGTTATTTAAAACAACCCAAACACACCTACCGGTATATACATTTGGATGCTGCATTAAACACATTCTTAAAGTGAACATTTTTTAAAATAATAAATCAACTCCATAGCTGATTCCAAGTGATCAAGGGCTTAGGACGTTCCAATTCAGCCCATTGCAGTTTCTGCCAGTAGGGCACTCGTGCAACGTAAGCAATGACGTACATCCGAGTGAACGAGACGGAGGGAAGTTAGCGAGTGAAGGGCATAACAATTTTGGACTGGAACGCAGCACTGAGCGAGAGATATGCTGCGTTCCAGTCCAAAATTGTCATGCCTTTCACTCGCTAAATTCCCTCCATCTCGTTCACTCAGATGTACGTCATCGCTTATGTTGCATGAGTGCCCACTACTGGCGGAAACTGCAATGGGCTGAATTGGAACGTCCTAAGCCCTTGATGACTTGGAATCAGCTATGGATAGGGCGACCACCCGTCCCGCGTAGCGCGTGTGCGCACAGCGTTTGAAGCCCAATTCATGCGTCCCGCAAATTGAGACCGTGTCACGCATAATCAATGCTTGCTCAAAAAAAAAGTTAGTCGCTCTATATCCTCGAGCCCCAGGCAGACAAACGAACATTACTTGACACTTCAGCACGTTACTGTTGCCACGTGACCCACTCCTCAGTTGAACTGCTGACTAGGTTGTTGTCAACTTTTTCGTTGTTGTCATGACAGTGCACGCACGTGCACATAGATATAAACGTTTATATCTATGGCACGTGCATACCAACGTTTATGTCTATGGCACGTGCATACCCTGCCCATTCTCATCCCAAGGCGTCATCTAACTGACGCTTTTGACCATGCGTCAACATGCCGACGCACATGTACCCCTTAAGCATCAATATGAGACGCGCCTCCTAGTGGTCTAACCCTAACCCTACCCCAGACCTAAACCTACCCATAACGGAAGCGTCATGTAACTGACGCTAAAGGGTGCCATGTGCGTCGGATTTAGACGCATGGTCAAAAGCGTCAGTTAGATGACGCCCGAGGATGAGCGTCTCATATTGATGCTTAAGGGGTACCATGTGCGTCGGCATGTTGACGCATGGTCAAAAGTGTCAGTTAGATGACGCCTTGGGATGAGAATGTGTTGGCATACCAGATGCGCGCGCATAGATGCGCGCTTTCCAATTCGAAAAATGGAGAAATACTCTGAGGCACCGCATCGCCATCATCAATTAAAAAAAGAAGGTGTGGTAACAAAAAAGACAGGGAAAATGAATATTTGTGGCTGAAAGGTGTTGAGGGGGACTTAAAAAAAAAACAAAAAAAAAACTGATAGTTGTAGTTGAGCAACTACAATTCTATAATCCTATAGATTTATATTATAATTTATTTAAAGTGAATAAATTGTAATGAAAAATAAATAAAATTAGATGCTAAAGTAAATCCTAAGTGGACGTGCATCTGTCAATTCATTGAATGTTCAAACTATTATGAATCTTTATTTAGAAAAAATACACATTGGTTGGCCTATTCATGAGCATTTCAGCAATTACACATATTTAGGGGAATAGGGCATTATTAATATACCATGTAAGGTGGTATGTGCTAGAAATGGGTAAACCACTAGTGGGGGCACCGCCGCGCAAGGCAGTGTCCCACATTGTCCCTCAGAAACATACCTGTTGTCCCCCCTTGGGCTTATTAGCAGGTGGTCACCCTAGCTATGGAGTTGATTTATTATTTAAAAAATGTTTCCCTTTAAGAATTTATTTAATGCCGCATCCAAATGTATATAGATGTGTTTGGGTTATAAAAAAAAAAGAAAATTATAATTAATATATCATAGAGTTTTTTGTGGTGGTGGTGATTAGACAAGATCTGCGGTGACGTCACAATCGTGTTGCATTATGGTATATGGAGCTTCCTGAAGTGTACATATGAAGTAGACTCGGTCAAAATCGAGGGAGCGAGGGTCTGTCCATATAAACTTCCCTCGTCCACTTCACGAAGTGGAACGCACTTCAAAATGGCGGCAGGGATTCCCCCGAGGGGAAGTGCTTAGGGAAGCTTGCAAGTGCGTGTCTAAAAGTGGACTGGAACGCAGCACAAGAGTGTGCCCATTAACGTGCAAGTTCGGGTTACGGAAGCCGTCGGCTGTGCTGTATGGCACGCCTGCAGGAGCTCGGCTATTTTCGGAAAAAAATCTCATAAATCTGATCAAACTAAGACTATAGGTACTCAAAATTAACATGAGATTGGCTGAAACTGAGTGTGTTATGTCCCCTTTAAGATAAAACAAAAAACATTCTGTTAGTCACTATTTAATTTAGTTTACTTTACTATCAATAAAGACAGGAATATTCTCTTAGAAAGACCTTGATGTCTTTTTTAAAAATATCCATAATCTTTTCTGTTATGTACAATACATAAATAAATAAATTTGTATTAAATAAATTATCCAGCATGTTAAAATCTTGAGTCAGTCTGAGAGGCCATTTACATTATACTGTTTTCGTCTAAAAGCAGAAAACTGTTTATGCAATTTGGCTGTTCATTTATGCGACAACAGCATTTTGGGGGCCTGAAAATGCAAACTTTTTAAAACCGGATTCAAAAGGCAAGATTTAGAAAATTATACTGTTATCGCCTCTGTGTAAACTACAAAAATGCGAATTTGTGAAAAGGGTGATGTCATGCGCATGCGTATTACACGTTCAGTCTACAGGCGTGTATAGTTTTTCTTTACAAAGGGACCGCTAACTACTGGGCTGCCAGCAGAATACAGTGTTTTTAGTCATTTTCGCAGATCCATGTACACAGGGCTCGCTTTGACAATGTTGTCGTCTGCCCACGAAAAACGCAAAAGAAAAACGTTTCCGTTTTTAGTATATCGCTGTTGTGTAAACATATCCTGAATATACAGGCCTGTTGTCATGAGAACTCCAGACGTGTTTCAAAGAAAAAAACTAGGTAACACTTTATAATAACTACACGCTAATAATCATTAGTTAAGCATGAGTAAACAGTTAATTCATCATTCATAAAGCATAGACATTAATAAGCAGTTTATAAATACAGCTATAAATGCTTTCTTCTTGATTTACAAGCATATCTATAATTTATTTAGTAATTGTATTTTCATCCTTTATTAATGATCAATTTATTATTTCTAAATGATTAATTGCATTTTTTATAAACCAGTTATTTAAGAGTTTTCAGTGGTTCACAAGATTACTTAGAACGTGTAAGTAAATGATTAATAAACTATTTAAATGTACATTCATACATCTTATTATTCAGACATATAGTGATGGTTACTTAGTGTGTTAATAAATGCTTTATTAACATGTATTTAAGCTGTAATTCAGGGTTAATTCGGGTAGTTATAAAGCATTTAGTAGTGGTCAGTTAACTATGTTTGTGAGCTCAGCTAAAGTGAGGACTATTCATGCCTTGTAAAGCATTTATAAAGGAGATTTAAAGGCTGTTAAATATTTCTATGTTCTGTATCACTGTGTTGTGTTTGTTACATTTTACTGTTAAGAAGATTGATGCGCCTTTAAATCTCCTTTATAAATGCTTTACAAGGCATGAATAGTCCTCACTTTAGATTAGCTCACAAAATAGTTAACTGACCACTACTAAATGCTTATAACTACCTGTATTTACTACATTTACTTACACTTTCTAAGTGATCTTATGAATAACTGACAACTCTTAAATAACTGGTTTATAAATAATGCTATACTTCATTTAGAAATTATTAATTGATCATTAACAAAGTATGAAAATACAATTATTAAACGCATTATAGATATGCTTATAAATCAAGAAAAAAATTGTTTATAGCTGTATTTATAAACTGCTTATTAATGTCTATTAATGCTTTATAAATGATGAATTAACTGTTTACACATGCTTAACAAATGATTAATAGCATGCAGTTATTATAAAGTGTTACCAAAAACTATCCAGAATAGCCAAAACATCAAATATAATATTCAGCTAATGAAGGATAAAACAAAGGCTGAATTCAGAATGGCAGAAATAGTACTAGCATACTGAATTCAGCTGGTTTTATGTATGTTCAAAAAGGGTGGAAAAACAAGAAAAAATTAAATTTAAGAACCAATAGATTCACCCAGTTGCATAAACTCCCATTCATGCAAGTCTGGAGAATCATGACTGTTAATGAAAAGGGAGGGATTATCATTAATTAGCCAAAGTCTGTAGAGTACAAAAAGACCAAGGGGCAGATTCTCAACAGCGTGACTAGCTGTTGAACAATGGCAGGAAGTTGGTGTGCTGTTCAGTCTCTGGCACTTTGTGTTTGGATCTGTGCTTTCTGTCATGCTGTTCCAAAATGGAATCTGCCCCAGAATCCTCAAACTCTGATGTTTCAGCAAACTGACCAGCGGTTTCAACAGCCAGTTCAACAGCAAGCTAGTCAACGGTTTCCTCAGCAGTTTCAACAGCAAGCTAGTCAACAGTTTCCTCAGTCAGTTCAACAAGCTAGTCAACAGTTTCCTCAGCAGTTTCAACAGCAAGCTAGTCAACAGTTTCCTCAGTCAGTTCAACAAGCTAGTCAACAGTTTCCTCAGCAGTTTCAACAGCAAGCTAGTCAACAGTTTCCTCCGTCAGTTCAACAACAAGCAAGTCAACAGTTTCCTCAGCAGTTTCAACAGCAAGCTAGTCAACAGTTTCCTCCGTCAGTTCAACAACAAGCTAGTCAACAGTTTCCTCCGTCAGTTCAACAACAAGCTAGTCAACAGTTTCCTCCGTCAGTTCAACAACAAGCTAGTCAACAGTTTCCTCCGTCAGTTCAACAACAAGCTAGTCAACAGTTTCCTCCGTCAGTTCAACAACAAGCAAGTCAACAGTTTCCTCAGCAGTTTCAACAGCAAGCTAGTCAACAGTTTCCTCCGTCAGTTCAACAAGCTAGTCAACAGTTTCCACAGCAGTTTCAGCCTAAGCAGCCAGTGGCACAGGAAGAGCTCCTTGACAAATGTGCTGTAGCTGATTATGAGCAGATCCAATGTGGACCACCTGGTATCAGTGGTGCTGAGTGTGCAGCCATCAACTGCTGCTTTAATGGACCTCAGTGTTACTATGGGAAGACAGGTAAGAGTGTTGAGTCAATGTAAAGGGTGTTCATGTTAAATTGATTTTTAGCAATAACCTGCTTGTTTTTTAGTAACTGTCCAGTGTATAAGAGATGGTCAGTTTGTGGTAGTGGTGGCTAGAGATGTTACGCTGCCTCGATTGAGCCTGGATTCAGTCCGTCTCCTGGGTGGAAATGATCCACCTTGCAGTCCTGTCGGATCCACACCTTTCTTTACTATATACCAGTTCCCTGTCACTGCATGTGGCACAAGCATGATAGTGAGTAGCTGCTTGTGTTTTGTTCTACATGGCTTAGAATGGGCTGGATGTGAAATAGTGTTACTATTTGCAGGAGGACAGTGGATATGTGGTGTATGAAAACAGAATGACCTCCTTGTATGAAGTGGGTATGGGACCACTTGGTTCCATCACAAGGGAAAGCCATTTTGAGTAAGCTTTGTGTTTGCGTTATCATAAATGTTAATCATTGACAAATGCTAAAAGCTCACTGTTTGTTGCCCAGGCTTCTCTTCCAGTGTAGGTACTCTGGTACTTCTGTGGAAGCTCTGGTTGTGGAGGTTAACACCGTTCCTCCACCTCCACCAGTAGCTGCTCCTGGACCCCTCAGGGTGGAGCTTAGACTGGCAAATGGTCAATGCATCACCAAAGGCTGTGCTGAAGGTACGTTTTGGTCCCAAGTATGCCTAAAACCTTTCTAAATCTCTGGGTTGCAGCAGCTTATAGTTGAACCCTGTATTCTTCTTCAGGAGACGAGGCGTACACTTCCTACTACAGTGATGCTGATTATCCAGTTACAAAAGTCCTGCGGGAGCCTTTGTATGTTGAGGTGCATATTTTGGGAAGGACCGACCCCAACATTGTCCTGATGCTGGGACATTGCTGGGCGACATCTACCCCCAGTCCACTCATTCTACCCCAATGGGACCTTCTGGTTGATGGGTGAGTAAGGCCAGTCTTTGTCCATAGTGTGCTGTAAGACTTTTCTGACTGCCTCTTTGCCTTTCAGATGCCCTTACCAGGATGATCGTTACCTGACCACATTGGTTCCAGTGACTGGATCATCTGGTCTTCAGTTTCCAACCCACTACAAGCGCTTTGTTGCGAAGACGTTCACATTTGTAGATTCAGAGTCACTGGCTCCTCTGCAGGAAACCGTATGCTCCACAGCCTTGCCTCAGCTCTTAATATTAGTGCATTTTATAGTGAATTCTATGGCTTAACCCTTTCCCCCTCTTAGATCTTCATCCACTGTAGTACAGTGGTGTGCCATCCCTCTTCTGGCTCCTGTGAGCAAAGCTGCTCTAGGAAAAGTGAGTGCTTGCTGTAAATTGACTTTAGGAACTGAGAATTTATTTAAATGCCCCTCATGCTTCTACCACTCTTTACAGGAAGAGATGCGCACGTCTAGTGGGCAAACCGTGGTGTCTAGTGGCAAAATTAGCCTGGTCATGTAAATTTGGTGTGTTAATAAACCTCGTGAAAATAAACATTTGTTTCTTTGGTATTAATTTCTAAGTGGAATTGGATGTTTCATGATTTTTCTCAGTACTGCTGTACTAAAACTTTTTTTTTTTCTTGTGCATTTATTCACAAACTATTTCTGGTAAACCTTTTTATTCCCAGATAGTAGACGTACTATATATATGGTATACTCTGCTGAAATATATACACAAACAGGTATTTCATATCTGCTTCAGGATTATGGCCATTTACATGAATGTTCAGAAGATTTTTTTTTTCTTTCCCTTTTCAACAAATTGTCAGAAAAGAGCCTTTAACTTTCAGAAAATGTTGAATACCAACCTCAAGAAATTAAATATTATATAGGCGTATATACATTTATGTACACCCAAGTTAACATTACACTACATTGTTTCATCGTATCTTTTTTTTTATCATTCAGTTGAATAGTTCAACTTAACAAATGCAGTCAACAATAACATTTTGTAAAATGTAATACGATTATTGTATGAATTTGAAATGGCACACTAGCATGCCTCTTACTATTCCTGCCATAAAGAGAAATAAGAGATGCTATTCTGAATTCATCCATTTAATTCCTGCCAAAGTGCAATATCTGTGCAGTGATTCTCATGAGATCACACATACTGATTTGGACATGGCCTCCTTTACTCTTGGAGGAAAAAGGTCTGATTTAGACTGAACTGTGTGAAAATCTTTATTCTGAACCTTGCAAGTTGCAAGGACTTTGCCATTAGTGCAGCCTCAAAGAGTATAATGACCCCACTAATGGAGAAAAGGCAAGTGAATTAGGCATGAAGAACTTTTTTTTTTTTTTTAACAAAGCAGGAAGCAACATAGTCCTGGTAATTGACATGTTTTGATGAGCTGTGTATAAACATTAAAGCCAAGATGTCAAATGGATATGTTGGATTGAGCAATTGTGAAACTTGTACATTTAGTCTACTCAATGGCTTTACAGTTTTTAATTTGTCTTGCCATTTCACAGAAAAGTGGTGTATTTTCAAAATCTTTTAAACTCAGCTATATTCTTTTAAAGCTTGATCTTGTGCTTTCATTAGTCATGCATATTTTCTTTCCACATAATGATTGTCTTAAAACTCTAAGAATATTGTAACAAGTAAACTTATTTAGCTGTAGAGGAAAATAATACCAATTAACCTCAAAATTGTTCCAGTGGAATAAATCTCACAAATGTTGATTTCAAGAATGACAAAATTAAGAAGAGCATAGCCATTCAACAAATGTATTGAGATGAGATTTAGTGAAATGGTCAACACTCAACAGGAAAATTAAAGATCTGACCCCTGAAGACATATTGCGCAACCGCATTCAACAATATACAGTTAGGTCTCTTTAAACTTTAGAAAAAAGTTTTTTTTAAATCATGCACAAGGTCAATTGGAAACATTCTACAGAAAAAAAAGCTTCAAAAAGAAGCTTTGATCTGACAAGATGAGGCTTTACAAAAGGAAAGGGCTAAGGTAATAATTGTGGAACTCTGACATCATTCCTCAGAGCGATTCCTTATTGAACCTGGGAAGAGTCTTCTCAATATGTGTCTGAGAGAAAACCTTGCCAAAGATAATATTGTCTGTGGAGAGAGCAGAATATGATGCATTATGTATAGTACCTGGATACTTCAAAGAAGAATGAATAGAGAAGCCCTTTCTGTTTCATCTTCAACAATCAATAACACACTGCTCTTTTGGTTCACAATATGCAAATACAGAATGTGTAGGATCACTGAGAGATTGTTTAAGTCTGTGTTAGACAATCAGCTACATTCTATGTTATCTAAATTTTGAAATCAGATTCTATGGAAGAATACTCCTCTAATCCTTGGTAATGGTGTGATTCATCATGAGCTATCTCTGTGTGCTATGAATAGGAGGTCATAGGAGGTCATTCCTACAAAAGCAATGGAAGAACATGATCAATGTGGCATGGCTGGAATGAACACTGTTACATTTTCTCAGAGCACTATTTTGAGGTTAGAGTTTTCTCTGAAAAGAGAGGCAGAAAAATGTAGGGTCAAGGACACTGTCAAAACTTTCTGATCCAACTATAAGGATTTCAAAATCTTCTGAATAAACCTTGTAAGCCTTTACTGTTCAGTTGGAAGAACAATGGCACTCTGCAGAATTGTGAAGAGACTGATTAAAAAGTTAGTACCACAGTGCTTGAAAGCCATTAACCTCACACACCACCACATCAGAGAACATTTCACGTTTGTTTTAATCTTCTGACACAAAAATAAGTCAGTTTTCAGCATACCATCTTCTACAATCTTGTTAACAGAAAAACCTTGTAAAGAAGAGTAGCAAAATTTATCTAAAGACATCATCTATTTTAAGATGTCTAATGTCCGCTCAATACTAAAGGATCTATAGCATTGTATATGTGGCATATAGACAATGCTATAGAATGCTTACAATACAATGCTTAACTTGTCCCAGATTAGCAGTAACTTGTCTTGAACAATGTCAAGGGGTTGAGTAACCTGTGGTTGGTTGGTTGGTTCGTTCATTCATTTCATTTATTTATTTCACATTTATTTATTCTTATTGTATTATTAAAGATATATATTAAACCACTAAAATGTTTATTATTCAGAATGATCTGTTTGTAAATGTAAAACTCTATTACAATTCTGTAGAAATCAAGATAATCATGCAAATTTATGGACAGAGAGAAAAGCCAAAACAGGAGATTAAAAGATTTAATTTATAAGTAGCGAATCCTGCAATATCATCACATACTTATGCAGATTTTCAAATGTTTCTGATTTAGAGGCTGAACCAATCACATTATGAAAAAAGAAAGAGTTTTGATTGCGCATTACAACAATAACAGTTTTTCAAATTTTTGTTCTTTTTTCTGGCTGTTTAAGGACTGTCTAAACGAAATGGCATAGAAATAAACAATTTTAAAAATCCTCAAACATGTCAGAGCGATTAAAAACTAACTGATGCAGTTTGAAATCACATCATCACATACAAAGTGTAGTCTACTAATCTTTTTAGAATGTCCTCCAAATTAACTTTAGTTAAATTTCCAAAACATAACACAGCAAGAACTAAAGACGAGAAACTGCCAGTTACTTAAAGTGTAATGATCTGGAAATGTTCCTATAAAAATGGAGACCATTCACTTTATCTAAGGATCAACAAAAAGCTCACATTTTCTTTCTCTCAGTAGTCTGGCCTTCCATCTTGATTTCCAAGTGTTCACATTCTATTGAGAGGAAGGTCAGAGAAGAATTTGATGTTGCCCTCTTCTTTCTTCTTTTACCAGGCTGTGATTGCTCTGGATAAACTGTCACAGCTGATAAATAATACTGTGAAACAGATTTGTATATCCTTTGTGTGTTTCCTGTGTGTTGCAGAGTGGCATGATGGAGGACACTAATTAAGATCTCATTCTGAGGGATGTTTTCTTGCACACACAACTGATGTGCCAAACAGGCTAGAAAAGTCAATGACATCCCATTTTCATCTCTCCTCATGCCTCTTTCTCTCATTGGAATTTAATAAGAAATGACACTGTGTGACCTCTGCTGTATTATAAGCATATACTACTCATATACTGTACATTTATGTCAAATTGTGTATTGTGTAAACTGTTGACAAGATTCTGTGGTGGAAATTATATTCAATTGAATCAAATTGGCAGACTTCTTTGTTATACAAAGGCTAATTTCATAGGCAACATTTTATGCGCATTTTCCAGCCCGATCTCACGGCAATTCGTACGAATTTTACGAGGTGGCTAATTCGTACTAATTCATACGACCTCACTCGTACAAATTCATAAGATTTTTGCTAATTCGTACATATTTTACGAGTTACCAAATTCGTATGAATTCGTACAAATGACCTACCCCTGACCCCGCCCCTAAACCTACCCATCACGTGGATTTAGACAAATCGTACAAATTCGTACGAGTGAGGTCGTATGAATTAGTACGAATTAGCCACCTTTTAATCACTCGTACGAATTCGTACGAATTGGTCGAGAGCAACATGACATCATGACTTTGCGTAAACATACACGCCACTTTCAATTCAAGTGGCGTGTTATCTATACGCATTTTGAGCTATCCGCGTGTATGTCCACGCCGAAATCTTTTGCGTGTATGTCTACGCCATTAAATGTCCGAGTGATTCCGCGTGTATGTGTACGCCGTTAAATGTCCGAGCGAAACGAAGCAAAATCTATATCTACATCTGTGGAGCGATATTTCTTTTCCTAGGATGGTAGGAGAAGACTCATAAATGGTATTAACCCCAGTGACGGGTAGGTTTAGGGACGGGGTTGGGGTAGGTCATATATTTATATATACATAATACAGTAATATAACGTTAAGTCAAAGGCGTTGATAAACACGCTGAAAAGCGATTATGCGTGTTGATAGCACGCCAAAAATGAAAATACGAATTGGCGTGTCATACATACGCCATTTCATGAGATCAGTCTGTCGAGAGATAGTGTTGGCATTTTCACATATAATTTGACAAAATTACAGCTTGATTGGAAATAGCACACAATAAATATATTTTGATGTTTATATTTTATATTTCTTTTCAAGCATGCTCTTTTGAGACTTTTGTGTTCTTAATTGTAACCGAGAACAGAAACTATATTATTAACAAAATTGTGACTGAAAGGACAATTTACAATTTACAATTACAATTTGTAAAAATGTATAGGCTATACATTAGAAAAAGTTTATGATTATTTCAGTCTTTGTTTAGATTTACCTTTTATAGTGTAATGTTCTCAAGGGTAAATCTGTATATAAATGACACATGAAAATATTGTGAGGGCAAAATAAAATAAAAATCCATAGTAAAAGTAGCATGCAACATTATTTCCTTTAAATATGTTTACATATGATTAAAAGAATAAACCCTTTCTAAACATAAGTGCAATATATACTATATGCACTGACAAGCTTTGTGACACATGATGTGGTTGCCAAAAGTCTTTCCTCAAACAGTGAAGGCCATCACCTGACATGCTACCCCCTCTAGCCCTGCTTTTGATAAGGTGCTGCTAGATGATTGAGGTGAGTTTTAATATATGCAGCGGACTTGGCCTCTTTGTGTGCTTTAGCAGAGAAAAATCACGTGAAACACACAAAAACCGCAGCTGTGGGTGGTAAAATATGATATCCACAGGCTCCTTCAGCCCTTCAAGAGAATTAAAGCCCGTCAGAACACCTGCCACGCTAAAGAGACATTTTAGGGCTGAAAAATACATAGCCTGAATTCCTCCAAATGTCTAGGGATGCAGGTTAGCATACCCTTTTTTTTTAAAAAACGTTCCGATTCTGATACAAAAAATACTGAATATCGCCTGATACCAATCCCGATACCAGTGTTGTTGTTTTTTCTTGATCATTGTAAAATATCTATACGCGTGCGTCACTAAATACCAAGGCTGCTGATGTGCTACACCAGACGCGTCATTCATTCTATATGCATATGCTCAAGTGTAAATCTGTCACATTACGTGGTTGCTGGCTGGCAGACGAGGAAAACGAATATAATCCAATACAGGTTTATTAAACTTATTTCAGCTTAGCCAAGACCATGGCCGGAGCTGGTTTACTGCGTCCTGAATGGTCGGATTACACTTTAAACTGTTCAAGTATTGGGTGTTAACTTACATAAATAATGTAATGAAATATGAAAAGAAAAGAAAACTTAGGCCTACATAGGCACATATAGCCTATATATTTTCAAATGTTCACTTATATCGTAGGCTACCTTGATGCGATTTTGTAGGCTAGTGTATTCTTTTTATTATGTACAGAAATGGACCATGGTGAATATATTTACACAGGTTTTCAACCCTATTTGAATATAAAACCCAGTTGAATATAAAAAAGTCCAGTGCAAACGTTACTCCCACTCGTCCAACGCTATCTCACGACCAATGCGTACGAATTTGTAAGAGTAATTAAAAGGTGGCTAATTCGTAAGAATTCGTACGACCTCACTCGTACGAATTTGTACGATTTGTCTAAACCCATGTGATGGGTAGGTTTAGGGGCGGGGTCAGGGGTAGGTCATTCGAATTGGCCAATTCGTAAAATATGTACAATTTAGCAAAAATCGTACTAATTCGTACGAGTGAGGTCGTACGAATTGTTACGAATTAGCCACCCTGTAAAATTCGTACGAATTGCCGTGAGATCGGGTTGGCTCGTCATCGGCAGCTGTCAGTCACAGTTGCTAGGCGACAAGAACAATCCTCTAGGCTAGACCGGTCCGAGCGCTTCAGATGCACCCTTTGATATGGGACGCAGGTGTACTTAGCAACAATTTGTTAATATTGTGACAATAGACCTACATTTTGTTACTTTAATTTTCAAAATAACCAGTGGTGGAATGTAAGGAACTATACATCGTTAAGTATTCATATACAAGTAAGTAGCCTACTTTTTTCCCTCAAAGGACAGCAACACTATGCATTATTTTACATTAAACTACTCAAAAGTATATAGTTTAAATGTATCAACCTTGCAAACACTATCATTACAAAAATAAACAATGTCCAGAGCCATGAATTCTCTTTTATTTACAGATTTAAAGTTGCATAAAATAATGAAATCATGAATAATAAAGAAATAATGTACAGAAATTATTATTTTTTTCTTTTTAAAAAAATGTAAGTGAAAAAAAGTTCAACAAGAATATATATATATATATATATACAGTGCCGCTGCTAGCCATTTTGGTGCCCTAAGCATAATTCCCCCCCCCCCCCCCCCCCCAATGGCATGGTTTTATAATCACTGGGATCCGGAATTTGAGGCAGGTTAGTTAGGGGTGTTCGGGGGAAATTTGGGATTTTTCTGAACTACAGATGTGCATTTTAAAGATGTTGTGAAGGCACAAAAAAAAAAAATCGATAACAACAGCTTTAAAACCATGTCAGTGGGCAGCTGA